GTAGCAGCTTGCGCATGGTGTTCTGGAGGGTCCTATTCATTCTTTCTGCCACCCCTTGCTGGTGATGAGCGCAGGGAAGCGAAATGAGTCGCTTGATGCCTCTCTCCACCAAGTATTGCTTGAACCACTGTGACTGATATTCTCCTCCTCCGTCTGAATGAAATATTTTCAGCTTCACTCCTGATTCTTTTTCTTCTACTGGGAGCCAAGCGACGAAGGCCATGTCGCGACTCGGAAGGTTGAGGTGCGAGGCGTATCTGGTGGCGGCGTCGATGAACGTGATTACGTAGTTGTATGCTCCTTGTCCGCTTTCGCAGGTATACAGTATGTCGCTGTAGACCATCTCCAGTGGTGCGTAGGCTGGTGCGCTCGGGTTGTGGTGAGAGGCAAACGGCTGATGGGGTAAGTCGGACTCTTTGAAGTTCTTTGCCGTCGGCTAAAAGTAGCGAGTCTTTATCGAGCAATCCTGCTCTTATCGTGTTGTTCAGTGTCATGTTGCTTGGATGACCTAACCTTTGTGTTAGAATGTTATAGTGCTTACTTTGTGTAGGCTATAGTGGGGTAGCCCATAAGGGGTACAACCCAATTAGGGTTAGTACTTGTACCCAACTTTCTGCTCAATGCATTCATTCTTGTTCCATAGTTCAGACACTTTGAAGCCATAGTGATTCGTCGGCGCGATGTCCAAGTGAACTTATGTACAGATTGGAGTTGGAGTAAAAACTTGCGGTGATGTTGGTGCTTCTGTGAACTTCGCGTGGGGCGGGAGTCAACTATTGAGTGGGAGTCGGTGCTGATGAAGAGTTGGCGATTGGAGCTGGTGCTGTTGTTGTTGCTTCTGCTCCTGTCGGTGTCGCTGCTGCTGCTGTTGTCTCTGCTGCTGCCGATGTTGATGCTGCTGCTGTTGTCTGTTGAATCACTACTAACGCCCTTGTCTGTTCTGCTTCAAGTATGGTGTGCGAGTACCAGAAACCTCCGGGGCTGAAGTCTGAGTCGAGATCTGGTGGGTGCGACCAAGTGGTGAAGTTGACAATTGCGTCGCTGTCAGCAGTTCCTTGATCTGGGACGAAGTCGAGAACGAAGACGTTGTTCTTCAGGACTGCTTTCCCGATGTAAAGTCCTCCCTTCCCGTTGTACAGCTTGAAGTCCTGAGTGGTGCTGTCGACTTCAAGGTGAATCCCTTTTGCCATGAGCTGGCTGACGCTGAGTAAGTTGTAGCCCAGTCCTTGTGCAATCAAAACGTTTGACATCTGTAAAACGACGTTAGTTTTGCGGGACTGAAGTTGAACTATTCCTTGTCGTTGTGTGCGCAGGTTCTGGTTGTTGGCGACGGTGATCACGACTTCCCGGTTGAGGTGTTGTTCCCGTTGAATGACGCGATTTGACGAGCGCATGTGTTGTCCGCATCAGCTATCCAATAACCAAGTATATTGACCAAACGGTTCGCTCTGTGCGATAGCTGCGTATGTCGGGTTTGGTTGTAGCAATTCGCGACGAGGTGTGCTCTCGTCGAGTAATTCTTCTAGTGAGTAGGTTGGTGGCAAATTGGTGATGCAGGAGTCCGTTCTTTTCATGCAGCTTATGATGTTTCTTGTTTCTCGTGTAGGTTGTGACGTCGTTGAAGGTGGCGCTTGGTTCGAAGGTTGTTGCTGTGTGGAGGTAACTTGACTACTTGAAGGTCGAAGCTGACGTGGTGATGGAGTCGATTGCTGCTGATTGGGGCAATGGATGCGAGAATGTCCTGACGTTTGGCAGAGATGACAGAATGGTGGTACGTATCTTCGTGCTTGGTGCTCTTGTTGTCGGTTGTTGTTGTTATTGCGCCACTGAGTGTGAAAGGCGAATTCTGGTGCTGATCCTCTTTTCCCTTGTCGTTCTTCATGCAGGTCCATGTCTTGTTGTTCGGCATGAATTTTGGTGCAGAGTTTTGATTCGGAGATTCTTCCGTGGGCTCGGAGAATGGCTCGAGTGGAGCGCCACTGAGGACCGAGACCCGCGATGACGACAGTGACGAACGCTTCTTCGGATGTTGATCCGCCGCATCGAAGGAGTCTATCGCGCAGGCCACGACAGCGACTGATATATGCCATTCCCTTTTCGCCGGGTTGCATTTGGACCGTTGTTAATTGCGCCATGAGACGACTTTGATTAACGCTGTCGGTTGCTTGATAATGGTTCTTCAGGTGGTTGTACGCGAGCTCGGCGGAGTTTTTGTATCCGCGATAAGACCGGATGTTATGCTGCTCGTTTGTCGTTACGTTTCGCAGAAGTATGGTGTACGCCATCAGTGACTGGTACGTGTACTGCTGCTTGTCGTACTGTGTCCCGTGCGCTGGATATGGCAAGGAGCCGTCGAAGAAGCCAAGAATTTGAGCGCCTTCCATCATCAGCTCGAATTCGAAGGACCAGGTATAGAAGTCGTTTCCATCAAACGATGTTGATGTTTGCAGTTTCAGCACGTATGCGAATTGTGACTGCAACTGAAGTGCATCCAGTGTCTTCGTCTCTTGTCCAGGTGGGAGCTGATTCAGCATGAAGCTGACAGAGCCGCGTTGAGGTACATACGGTGCGAAGGTAGGCTGTTGATTTCCGCGCGCAAAAGATGAGCCGTCGAGACTCATGGGAGTAACTCCGTTTTTGTTGTCGCTGTTGGTTGACTGCGCAGGTGCCGCTTGTTGATGTTGCTCGTAGAACGACATGAACGAGAAAAAATTCTCCATCATACTTGGGTCGATGCCGATTGCTTGGTTCGCAAGAGTCTCTGTTGCAGGGCATATGATTCACTTTTAGGCACGTTAATGCATCAGGGTCCCTCTGTGTAGAATCCCTGATCGTCAGTGTCCCCCCAAAAAAATGCCTGAAAATTCAGTGTTACCTTCAAAAAAAGTATGATGCATCAGTGTTCCCTTTTTGTAAAGGCTGATATTGAACTTCAAATAAGATAACACTAGGCAGGAATGCGATGAAACCCCAAGAAGATGGAAGGAAAGCATGGAGCAGAATGGGATGGGAGCCTGGATGGCACGTAGCACGGCTGGGCGGCGTGGATGCATCAGTGCTTGCCAGCACAACTTAGACAAAACGGGCCACAGGACCACAGGTGCAAGCAATGGGCCAGAAACCCTCGCATCGCAGCCTGCCAGCATTGCTATGTTGCAACCTTGTCATTGGTCAACCCACATAATGCTGCAAAAGTGGCCAATGATCAGATCAAGCGCGCCAACAAAGCAGCCCTCAAAGAGAATAACACGGGGCAATTTTGTCTGGTAGTCATTGGCATTTGTTGGGCTGAAAAAGTCCTTAAGATCGTTTCAAGACTCTCTGAGTGATGATGTATTTAGCGGAAGTGTTATAGTGGATTGAGTGAACCACCTTGTACTAGTATGTGAGAACAAGATGAATTGATTAAAGCAAAGAGATACAATGTTTTATATGACTACAAGGAATACGAAGAGTTTAACTGTAATTGCTGTTGCGGTTCGATACAGCGACGACTCGGGTAACTGCTCAATAGCGAGTCAGTTATTTGTCCTTGCTGTCGCGCTGCCTTCGTCAAGTCAAAGGTCGCTGACCTTTGACTCTCGCTTCAACCTCCTGCTGTTGTCGCCTTGTCAACCGCTTTGGTTGACTCGGTGTTGCGTCGCTGTGAGTGTGCTTCTCTTTTGTTGTAGAGCTCGATACTTCAGAAGCGTAAACTAAATGTTTCCAACAACATTTGAGTCGCCTGAAAAGTTCTACGTCAGGAGCAGTGCTGGCAGCTGCTGTACTTGCACCTGCTGCTACGGTACTACTTCACTTGTCTGCGCATTCACTGTACCGATATTTGCTCCTCTGGCTGTGCTGCAAACCACAGCGCCTGCTGCTATCGCCCTAACTGCCTCCTGATTCGCTGTATCTGCGTCTCCTGCTGCACTGCAAACCGTTGCGCCTGCTCCAACTGCTGCTCCAGGCGCTGCCGCTGCCACTGCTGCTGCTGGGTTGGGTACATGAACTGCTCTTCCTCCCTCTCCAGCTGCCGCAGCTGCCATTGCAATTGCTCCACATGCTGCCTTTGCTGTGCCTGCTCCAGCTGCAATTGCTTCAGCTGCTGCTCCAGTGACGCTCGGACAGACCTCTGATTCGACCCATAAGTCTGCTCCAGTGACGCTCGGACACCAGAAGGAACTCGCTGATTTTGCTGCTCTTGCTGCTGAGGGAATTGCTGCTGCTGCTGCCGCCGCCGCAAGAATTGCTGTTGTTGTTGTTGCTCCCGCTGCTGCGGCTGCAGCAAAAACTGGCCTACTTGGGTGGCTAATTGATCACCAAATGCTTTAGAAGCACCAATACCAGAAGCACCCCTGTTTCTTCCTCCCCCAGCGTTTGATGTTCCACCAGACCTCAGCATCCCACCAGCGTTTAACGGTCCACCAGCACTTAGCACTCCACCAGCACTTAGTGCACTCAGGAACTGGCCTATACCGGCACCTCCCAACCCAGCAGCACTGGTTGAAACCGCTCCAGAAGCAGGAGTACCAACAACACCAGGAGCAGGAGCACTGATCCCACCACTTGGGACTGCAGTGGCAGCTGCAATGGCAGCAGCGAGAGCAGCAGCAGCCTTTTCAGGTGTGACTGAGGTTGGAAAAGGTAGCCCTCCCCCAGATACAGCCTGCGCTGCTGCCTGCGCCACCAGAGGCTCGACCGCTGCAGAGGATGCTGCTACTCCTGTGTTGCTGCCTTGCGCATGGACGGGCATCCTCCTCCTCTTCCTCCTCCTTTTTCCATCATCATCCGCCTCTTCCTCACCATCCTCTTGACCGTGATCGGTGTTGTCGTCACTATCACTGCTACCACCATCGCCACTCACACTAGCACTATCATCGGTACCACTTTCACTATTGTCACTATCATCGGTACCACTTTCACTATTGTCACTATCAGTATCACTACTCTCATCGCTATCATCATCATCCTCATCCTCATCACTTGAATTGCTGATTCTCCCTTTCCTTCGCCTTCTCCTATCTTCTCTCCCCCTCTCCTGCTCTCTCCACCTCTTCTTCCCTCCGCTCCTCCCATCCCTCTTCCTCCCCTTCGTGCCTTTCCTGCTCCCACTTCTCCCCCCTCTTTGCTTCACCTCCACTACATCATCCGAATCATCCTCACTCCCACTCTCACTCCCACTCTCGCTCCCACTCTCACTCTCACTCTCGCACTTCCCACCCTTCCTCCTTCCTCCTCTCCCTCCTCTCTTTACCTCCACTACGTCATCTGAATCCTCCTCACTCCCACTCTCACTCTCATCCGCAACCTTGCCACCTTTCCTCTTCCCTCTTCTCCTCCCTCGTCTCCTCCCACTTCTCCTCCCTCTTCTCAACTCCTCATCATCTGAATCCCTCTCACTCTCACTCTCGCCCTTCTTTCCTTTCCTCTTCTTGCCTCTCATTCTCCTCACCTTATCTCTAGATTCCTCCTCACTCTCACTCTCGCCCTTCTTTCCTTTCCTCTTCTTGCCTCTCATTCTCCTCACCTTATCTCTAGATTCCTCCTCACTCTCACTCTCACTCCTACTCTCACTACTGCCACTCATTTCCTCTTCCTTCACCGATACCTCAATCACCTCCGCCTTTCGCCTCTTACCACCCCGCTCTTCCCCATTCCTATTCCCGTTCTTTACCCCCCTAGTTCCATCTCTATACCCTTCCCTGCTATCATTTTCCCCTCGCCTGCCATCCTTCTCCCCTTCCCCACCACTCCTCTCCACTTCCCCACCACTCCTCTCCCCTTCCCCACCACTCCTCTCCCCTTCCGCACCACTCCCCTCCCCTTCACCACCACTCCTCTCCCCTTCCCCACCACTCCTCTCCCCTTCCCCACCACTCCTCTCCCCTTCCCCACCACTCCTCTCCCCTTTCCCACCACTCCTCCCCCCTTCCCCACCACTCCTCTCCCCTTCCCCACCACTCCTCCCCCCTTCCCCACCACTCCTCTCCCCTTCATCTCCACTCCTCTCCCCTTCCCCACCACTCCTCTCCCCTTCATCTCCACTCCTCTCCCCTTCCCCACCACTCCTCTCACCTTCATCTCCACTCCTCTCCCCTTCCCTACCACTCCTCTCCCCTTCATCTCCACTCCTCTCCCCTTCCCCACCACTCCTCTCCCCTTCATCTCCACCATTTCCACCATTTTCCCTGCCATTGTGAGTCATCAAGACTGGGTCACCGCCACCCCTCTCCCCGTCACTGCCGCCCCTCTCGCCGTCACTGCTGCCCCTCTCCCCGTCACTGCCACCCTTCTCCCTGGTACCGCCGCCCCTATCCTCGTCACCGCCGCCCCGCTCCCTGTCACTGCCGCCCGTCTCGCCCCCATCCCCTCCAGCCTGTCCCCCTGTTTCTCGCCCCAGACCATCCGTCTCCCCTCCTGCATCCCCACCAGCCTGCATGGTGTTTCCAGGTGTCTCAACTCCACCCTCAGCGTTCTTCTGAGTCTCCCCTCCAGCGCCCCCACCAACCAGCATAGCCCACGCAGTATGAAATGAAGCGTTTCGTTTTTTAGGCTTCTTTTCAGCCTGCACACCAGCCGGATCAATACCTGTCTTCGACCCACTCTTCCCCTTCTTTTGAAGCGCTTCTTTCGACCGCGGCGCTTCAAAACTTTGTCCCCCATCTGACCTCCTTCTCACCTTCTCTCTCCCCATCTCCTTCTCTCGTGCCCTCCCCTCTCTCACCTTTCCTCCCTTCTTTTGCACTTGCTCCTCTCGCTCTTTCTCCCCTCTCACTCTCTCCTTCCTCCCCACCCTTCTCGCTCCCTCCTCCGCTTCCACCCTTCTCTTCTTTCCCTGCCTTTCGTCATCAACAAATCCTCTAACCCCATAGTCTGGTCCTGCATCTTCCCCTCCTCCCTCTCTTCCTCCCCCCCCTCCTCCCCATCCCACTGCTCCTCCCCCTCCTCCCGCTCCTTCCCCCCACTCACTGCCACCAAATGCCCTCTCTCCCTGCTCATACGCAGACGCATTCCGAGAGGAGTAAGGAAAAGAAGCACTACCGCCAGGCACCCCTCCCAACCACTCACCACCACCACCTCCTCCTCTCTGATCCTGTCTCACCACACACTTGGGCAAGCGCTTAGCACGGGTGGTGGAGCCTGGAGGGGCCGAATTGGGAGTGAATCCAGCTGCTTCGGGACCAGAGAAAGTGTGTCCAGGCGTGTGTGGAGAACGGTTGAGACCGGTACCAAGAGGTGGCGGGACAGTGAATGCGTTTCCAGACGTGGGTATAGGACGAGAGAGGCCAGGACCTGGAGGGCCTGCCCAGGACCCCCCCACCCCTAATCCCCTCTGCTGCCTGTGCTGACTCTGCAGCGACTGCTGCCACTCCTCCGAACCCATGACAGGAGCACGAGGAGCAAGAGAGTCAGAGGCAGTACGTGTGCCAAGGAAGCCAGGAGCACGGGGGTTAAGAGGGTCAGCAGCACGGGAGCCAGGGAAGTCAGCAGCACAGGCCCTAAGATTACCAGCGACATGAGAACCAGAGAAGCCAGCAGCACGAGGAGCAAGAGGGTCAGCGGCACGAGTGGCAGGGAAGCCAGGAGCACGGAGGTTAAGAGGGTCAGCAGCACGGGAGCCAGGGAAATCAGGGGGAAGGCGAAGCCTAAGGTTACCAGTGGCACGAGAAGCAGAGACGCCAGTGGCACGAGAAGCAGAGACGCCAGCGGCATGAGAAGCAGAGACGCCAGTGGCACGAGAAGCAGAGACGCCAGCGGCATGAGAAGCAGAGACGCCAGTGGCACGAGAAGCAGAGACGCCAGCGGCATGAGAAGCAGAGACGCCAGTGGCACGAGAAGCAGAGACGCCAGCGGCATGAGAAGCAGAGAAGCCAGCAGCATGAGGTACATGAAGGGCACCTTCCCATAAACCATCCCTGCCCGAAAACCCCTGCCTCTGCTGTGCTACGGCGTTAAAGGCACCAGCCCAGGACCCATCCCTGCTCCACGCCCCTCGTTGGCGCTGCGTAGACACATGCTGAGGAGGAGGAGGAGGCGCGCTTTGAGGCGGCAAAGAAGGGAAGTCACATGAGTCAAGAGCTTCAAGTGCATCCTGAGAGTCAACAGAGTGAACTGAGTGAAATGAGTCAGAAGAGTCAGGGCGGTTGTCTCGGAGCTCTTCTGCCCAGGAATCATCCTCGCTGCCCCATGGGGCGTGCTGCCCATGAAACTTCTGCTGCCCCTGAAACTTCTGCTGCCCCTGAAAATTCTGCTGCCCCTGAGACTTCTGCTGCCCCTGAAACCTCTGCTGCTTCTGAAACTCCTCCTGCTCCAGAAACGCCCGGAGTTTGGCTTTACTGGCCCAGGGTGTTGGCAGCAGCGGAGCAGCATTGCCTGCAGCAGCAGTACCACCAGCAGTGCGCACAAGCCTGGCCGGCGGCCGTTCAGTGTGTTCGGGGTACGCGTCACCACGACGAACACTAGCGGCACCACCACCACCAGCACCAGCAGCAGCACCACCAGCAGCAGCAGCACCAGCAGCAGCAGCAGCAGCAGCAGCAGCACCAGCACCAGCAGCAGCAGCAGAAGCAGCAACAGCAGCAGCAGAAGCAACCCTGACAGAGCGCAGGTACGCATACTTACGGAGCCATTTCGGCCCGTAGAGTGACTGCATAAGCGATTTCACATGGATATCATCTGCCCACTTCTCCAAATCGTACGGGTCTGATTGCCGGTCGTATGAGGGTTTAGGTGCTGATGGCTGATCGTTAAGAGGTTTGTTGGGCGCATTCCTCCCTCTCTGCTGATTCCTCCCTTGTCCCTTCTCCTGCTCGGCCCCTGCACCATCACCCTCAGTCCCCACTCCCCCTGCCTTTGACTTATACCGCTCTAGAACCCCCAGCACCCATTCCTCTGTGTATTCAAAGTCAGAGGGGGCATCTATGGTTGGGCCTATCTCCTTTGCCTTATCCCAAAGCATCTCCACTGTTAAACGCCCAGGAAATTTCAATTTATCCTCCGCCACCACCCTCTTTACTGCCCCATCTTTCACAACCTTAACTGGTAAACTCACTGGTCTCTCACCCTGTGCATTTCCTCTCTCTTCTCCCTCTCCTTCTTCTCCTCCTCCTATTCCTCCTCCTCCTCCTCCCTCTCCCCCCCTCCCTTCCTCCTCTTCCCCACCCCCCTCTCCCCCTTCCATCACAAACGTACCCTCCTTTATCCCCCTCCTCCTCACCAACTCCCCCGCCCCTATCGCCTCAATCCACTTAAGCAACGCCTTTTCCAGCCTCACACACTGCACCCGCCCATCCACACCGCCCTCCACCGCATAATACTTCCTCTTCTTCCAATCCCACCGCTTCCCTCTCACCTTGAAGTCCTCCTCCTTCCCTTTCGGAATATTCATCCACCAGTCACTATGATTCCTGATTTTCCGCACCATGGACTCAAACACGGGCGTCCCCCAAGCCTGGAGCAGAGCCTTGGCAAGGAACAAGCTGGAGAGGTTCGGGACGGAGTGTATGACGAGGCAAAGCGCCCGCTTTTGGCTTGTGGTCATTTGGAAAGAGCGGCGGAGCTGCACGGGCAGAGGGGGGCCGTGTATCCGTTTGCGCACATTGGGGGATGGGGTGGTTTCGCTGGGTTGAGAGGGGTTCGAGGTGGGTGAGGAGTGGTGGACGGGGGTAGGAGGGGCGTTTGCGGCAGGAAGGGCAAGGACGACAAATTGGGTGGGTGGGGTAGAGGTGGGAGAAGAAGGTTCTTCCTGCCCCTCTGACAAGGTTTCAGGTGTTAGTAAGGCTTCAGGTAGAAGTACAGGTGCAATTCCAGGTGTTGGTACAGTTTCAGGAGTCAGTGCGGTTTCAGGTAAAGGTACAGGTACAGTTTCAGGTGCTGGTACAGTTTCAGGTGCTGGTACAGTTTCAGGTGCTGGTACAGTTTCAGGTGCTGGTACAGTTACAGGAGTCGGTGCTGTTTCAGGTGTTTGCTGTGCAGATGCCGGTTGGGATGTGGGCCGGGTAAAGAGAAAATCAGGCAACCGCAGCAGGGATATGGAGTTTGAGCTCTGCTGCTGCTGCGAGGCACTGGCAAGTGGCTGTTGGGACGCACTGACTGGCTGCTGCTGCTGCTGCTGCTGCTGCTTCTCTTTCTGCTGCTGCGCGTACCTCTGCTGCTGCTGCACCTGCAGGGGCACTGCTGAGAGGGGCATGCATTGCATGAGAGGCGAAGCGAGGGAGGACGGGCTCCTCCTGACAAACCCACTGCCATGCTCATGCCCACCCATAGCACCAGCGGGACTGCTAAAACCACCAGCACCAGCACCAGCAGGGCTGCTAAATCCAGCACCAGCACCAGCAGCAGTGACAGCAGCAGCAGCAGCAGCAGGGGCAGCATTGCTAGCACCAGCAGCATCGAGGTAAATGCCGCAGCCAGTAGCACCACCGTGGTATTTACTAAGCCAATCCGGGCCCAGTATAGCCCTCATAAGGCTTGATACATCTGGATCATCCACCCACTTATCTAGAGCATACGGGTCCTCTTCTCGACTGCTGTATGAGGCAGAGCGTTGGGACTCCTCGAAACGCCTCTGTAACACATCCGGATCCCAGCATTCCCCCTCGTTCCCCCCCTCATCGTTTCCCTCCTGCTCGCACCCCTCTTCCTCCTCTCCCTCTTCCTCATCACTTCCATCATCATCCTCCCCATCTGATTCTTCCTCCTCCTCCGCCTCCTCATTCCCCTCCCCCCGCTCCCCCTCCCCTCCCTCTCCCTTCTCCCACCTCAGTCCCCCTTCCCCTGCCCCCTCTCCCCCTGCCCCCTCTCCCCCTGCCCCCTCTCCCCCTGCTCCCTCAATTCCCCCAACCACCCCGGTCTTCTTCACCCTATATCGCGCCAGCACCGCTTCTGCCCACCCAGTTCCGTACCTAAAGTCACTCGAAACGCCTAAAGCAGGCCCAAGCTTCCTCCCCATGTCCGAAACCATTTCCAGTGTCAGAAAAACTGGAAAGGTGCCCTTCTGAGGTGCCCCATCCTTCCCCCCATCCCTCCCCCCATCCCTCCCCCCATCCCTCCCCCCATCCCTCCCCCCATCCTTCCCCCCATCCTCCCCCTGCTCCTCCAGCACCAGCCTCCTCTCTCTAATCCTCCCCCGGCAGACTAGCTCCTCCGCCCCCATCTCCTCAAACCACCGCCCCATCGCCTCTTCCAGTCTCGCCCACCGCCCCACCCCCGCTCCAACCACCCGTTTCTTCTTCTTCCTCCTCTTCTTTTTCTTCTTCTTCCCCATGTTCTTCCACAATCTCCCTGGCTTTCTGCTCATCTCCTGCTCTTTCCCCCGGGGGATAGTCATCCACCACCACCTCTCCCTCACATCGCACGATACTGTTGCGCTGTACAGCTGCACGCCCCAAGCCGGCAGCGCAGCTCTGGCGAGGTAGGCTTGGCGCAGGTTCGGCAGGGCCCGTTGCACGAGGCAGATGGCTCGTCTTTGCCCCGGCCGCAGCACGGTGTGGCGGCGATTCTTCCCGTCCTTGGGCGGCGTTTTGGAGGGATGTGGGGGAGGCGTGGTCTGAGCGGCTTGGGCGGCTTGGGCTTGGGCGGCTCGGGTGGCTTGGGCGGCTAGGCCGCCCTGAAAGGAGTGCAAATTGTCTGTGGCTCGGGAAGCCGGGGCGGCTTGGGAGGGGAGGTGGAGGAGGGTGGTGGTGTGGGGGACGGCGGGGGTATTGGGACCAGTGGAAGCGGCAAGGCCAATGACAATGGGCACGCGGGAAGAGACGCCGGTGGGTGTGCTGAGGGCTGCACCCGTGGCTGGTGGGGATTGGGAGGGGAGGTGGAGGAGGGTTGTGTGGCAGGCAGCGGGGGCATTGGGACCAGTGGGAGCGGCAAGGCCAATGACAACGGGCACGGGGGAAGAGACGCCGGTGGGTGCGCTGGGGGCTGCACCCGTGGCTGGTGGGGCCGCATCCATGGCTGGGGTGGCTGCACCCGTGTCTACAGCAACTGCCTCTGTACCGGATGTGAGTTGTCTAAGCCTTCGCTTCTTCACGCCATCATCACCATCACCAGCACCATCACCATCGTCACCAGCATCGTCCTCCCACCTAACCTGCTTGCTTCCTCTATTCCTCATTCCTGCTGCAGCTGTAGCAGCATGAACATCCTCAGCACTACCAGCACCGGGAATGACATCATCATCATCATTATCATCAGCATCAGCATCAGCATCAGCATCAGAATCACCATCAGCATCACCATCAGTCGTCCGCTCCTCTACTCCCAAGCCCCCTCCTGTGCTCTCCCCATCTCCATACCCATCTGTGTGCAACGCCCCTCCATCCCTCCCAGACCCTGTTCTGTAAACTAAGTCCACCCCCTCCTCTTCTTCTAGTAACTCAGTCAAGGCATCCGCAGACCAAGGGTTATTTACCCTTGAATAATCCCCTTCTCCTACGTTTCCACGATCAGGTTCTGGGATACTCACATCGCCCGCTCCTACTCCTTCACCTCCTTCATCTCCTTCCCTTCCTACCCCTGTATTCGATATTGAGCGTCCCGCTGCTGTACCCCCTGCCGACTTATGCAAGACCTGCCAGGCAGCGCGTTCAGCAGTCCGAATCTGCATGTTTACAAAACTAATCAACCCACCATCCCATCCCTCCACCTCTCCCTCCTCTTCGTCTCCTTTCTCCATCCCATTCCCTCCTGTTCCTCCCTTTCCTCCCCCGCCTCCCTCATCCTCGTTATCAACATCCTCGTTACTAGTCTCCGACAGCAGCAGCAGCCCAAACCTCTTCATAAACCGCGTCGCCCACGACCTGCCATACCTGAAACCCGGCCGCACATTATACCCCGGACCTATCTCCTTCGCCTTCACTATAATCTCCTCTCGAGTCACCTCCCTCTTCTCCCGCTCCTCCTCTTTAATCACCCACTCAGCCAATGCCTCCTCCATTCGTAACAGGTTCGGATCTGGCACCGCTGCAGTAACAATCCCGAACCACTTGTCATAAAACGTACTTATTCTGTCAAGCGATCGAAAGTTTATCCCTGTTCCGTTTCCGTACTTAACTGTAATCGCTGCAGCAATCACCCTATTGTCTAGGTTCGGCCATGCGCGTTTGACCACAGAAATCTCGTACCGAATCCGGATATCAAACGGAACCTCGTTCCAAGGAACACGCCCCGAGCCTGAGTCCCCGCCTCGAGCACCACCACCAGCAGGACCCTCTTCCCCCGAACCTGCTCCATCAGCCCCGGCATCAATCCCCGAGCCTGCGCCTCTGGCCAGATTAATCTCCTCCCCTCTCGAATTCAATCCGTGGTCCTTTAAAAGCCTGAGCATCCAATCTGTGCTGTAAATATGCTCCGCAGGGACGCCATACGAGGGCCCAATAGCCATCGCATAATCCACCATTTCTTTCAATGTCACGAACCTCTTAACTCCGTTCAAAATATTCTGAGGTTTCAGCGCCTCCCGGCGCCTCGTCTCGCGTATCCATTGCAGCAGATCTGCTTCCAATTCTGGGTTCTTGTAACTCTTGCGCCACCAGTTGTGCCAGTTGGCTTTAACGGACGGATCGGTTTTGGAGCGAAGGATTATCATCTCCACCCTCGATTCTTTCAGCGTCACTCCGAAGTGCTTCGCGACGGCGCGAGCGATCTGCTCGCTGGTGAGGATTGGGTGGGCTTTTTTGAGAGCCAGAATTTCCCGCTCGATTTTCTGGTCCACCGATATTCGTTTGTACTTCCGCTTCGACGGACGAGGTTCGGATCCCGAAGCCACAGGTTCGGACTGCGGTTCGGAAGGGCCTGCCGAGCCTGTCGCTGCTGCTGACGTGGCTGCTGGCTGCTGCTGATTGGCTGACGAAGGCGCAGCAGGATCAGCCTGCATTTCGCCTCCACCAGACCCGCCATTCTGACCGAAACCTGACGGCTCCTGCAGTCGCATCTTAAAAGCGAACGAAAGCCAGTCAAACGAGACTACCAAGGGAGAGAAAGAGAGATAGAAGAAACAAAAACCATCAGCTCCGCAATCGTCGCTGCTGGACGGTCATGATGAATCGCGTGGCTCTTCTCACGAGGATAACAGCCTAGACGAAATTATAACACTCCAGCGGGCTGTTACGACAATATGTAAATCACGACGATGTTACGACGAGTCTAAAATACAAATGAACCTAACTAGAATAAGGACGAGCCTAGACCTACGACATTACTAAAACTACGACTCGACTAGAATAACGACGACGAGCATAGAAATAAAAAAACAGACGAGCTTGCTACTTGAAAGATTTCAAGGTGAACTTGGCGGTGCGTCCGAATTGCAACTGATTGTGGGCGACTTGAGAATAATTCAAACTATGCTGAGTTTGGCGGGAACAGTGATAGGGGAGATAAGCAGCCGAGGAACAAGCAGCAGAGAAAAAAACCTTGTGTTGGGCCTCAATATCAAGCAAAACCCGAGACACAGAGATAGATTACTTGCACTTCAACAAGAATGCAGGAAAATAAGTTTGTTTCTGATAGAGGGATGACAGACCTCTCCATAATTTCGTCGCGCAAGATGAAAATAAAACCTCCCCTCATCTGCGGGAAAAGAAGATCGACGGTTCACATGACCCCTCTAGTGACAGTTGAGGAGTGAAACTCCTGCTTCTGCCACAAGAAAAAAATCTCACCATTCACCTTCGCGGGACGAGGTGGTAAACCTCGATAATTTCGTCGCCAAAGGCGGAAGCCAAACCCGCCTCCGCAACTGTACCACATATAATCGACGGTTAATGGGAAGGTACTTGACCACTCGTAATGTGATCGACGGCATTTATGCGATGCAAACTGTGAATGGATTTCGAGAATATCCGGAAGACGGTTTCCCTCTTGTGATGATACTTTTCGGGGCTTTGGGTGAATCAATCGCCTCAGACCCGAAAATACACTTGAGACCAAAATCCACTTCAGCTCAGTGACCTAACGGCTATATAATTAATTGCACTTACCATTCTTCAGAAGTCATTAAACACTAACTCAAACCCTGTTACACTCATACATAGGAGTCCAGAGAAAAAAAGTAATTACAATTTAGTTATTACACTGAACATATCACCCTGCGGAACCTGCAAACTACCAGTTTGGTTAACATCAATCAGCTACCACTAGCACATCATCATCATCAGCCTTGGACCCACCACCACCATCACCATCATTCTCATCACCACAATCACCATCATTATCATCACCACCATCCACTTCCACGACATCGTCATCGTCATCAAGATCATCACCGCCAACAGCAGCTGCAGCTCGACCAAGAGGAGACGAGGACGCAAACTGACCAAGCAGCAGTTTGGACATCGAGCTTGGGGCAGGAGGAGGATCACCCAAACTACCTGCTCCACTGGGCCCTGCGCCACCAGTGGCAGCAGCAGAAGCAGCACTACCAGCAGCAGCAGCCATGCTCGTGGTGTCCTGCTGAAGAGCCAGCAGTTGGGACATGGAGCTTGGGGCAGGAGGAGGATCACCCAATCCACCTACCCCACTTTGCCCTGCAGCAGCACCAGCGACAGCAACAGAAGCACCAGCAGGAGAAGCAGCAGCCGAGCTCGTGGTGTCCTGCTGAAGTGCCAGCAGTTGGGACATGGAGCTTGGGGCAGGAGGAGGATCACCCACTCCACCTACCCCACTTTGCCCTGCAGCAGCACCAGCGACAGCAACAGAAGCACCAGCAGGAGAAGCAGCAGCTGAACTCGAGGTGTCCTGCTGAAGTGCCAGGAGCATGCACATGGACGGTGCGAGTGGCATGGCATGGCGCGTTGCGGAGCGAGTCGCAGGGCTATCCCGCGCCAGCGGTCGTGGCATGGCATGCCCTGCTGGTCCATCCGGGCTAACTTGTGTTGACGGTGGCGAGGCAAGAGGCTGACTGGATGGGCTATCTTGCATGAGTGGCAGTGGCGGTGCGGGAGGCTGATTTGAGGGGCTGCCATGCTTTAGTGGTAGCGAGGCAGGAGGCTGTGTCGAAGGGGTGACTTGCGGTGTAGCAGCGGCGATGTGAGGCTGACCCGAGGGGCTATTTGAGGGGCTATTGTGACCTTTCGACAACTCCTCTTCACTGCATCTCAAGGCCTGCTCCCCTCCGTCTCTGAGCGCCTGCTCCTCCTCTCCTTGCGCACTCTGCCCCACAGGAATCTCGGCTATAGCACTCTCCGTTATAGCACTCTGCGCCATCGCAGCATGTGCCGCAATGCTTTGTGCAATCATACTGTGTGCCCACGGCGGTTGTACGTCCTTCTTCCTCGCCCTGCGCAGCGCCCTCATACGCCGTTCCCGCTTGCTTTGACCCACACTTTGACTTTGGCCCCGCAGAACTCTCCCTTGATACCCGATCGCTACTCCCCACTCTCGCTGTCTGCCTCGCATCTTCCTAGCCGCTGATCGCTCGACAGTAGCAGCAGGAGCGTTAACACCATCACCACCATCACTGCCATCACCGCCATCACCAACACTAAACCCAGCAGTGGAAGCAGCAGCAGCAGAAGCAGCAGCAACAACAGCGGCAGTGCGGTGCCGCCTAGCCATAGCAGCTCTAACAGCTGCAGCAGCAGCAGCACGGGTCCTGGTGGCAATACCTGCTGGAGCAGCTGTAGCAGCAGGCAAAGCATGGGTGCTAGCCACTGATGCTGTACCACGGAATCCCGCCTTCACAGCAGCACGGGTTCGTCCAGTCACAGCTGTAGCACGGAATCCAGCCTTTCCAGTGGCGGCTGTAGCATAGAATCCAGCCTTCACAGCGGCACGGGTTCTCCCAGTCGCTGCTGTAGCACAAAATCCCGCCTTTCCAGTCGCAGCTGTAGCATAGAACCCAGCCTTCAAAGCCGCACGGGTTCGGCCAGTCACGGCTGTAGCACGAAATCCTGCCTTGACAGCAGCACGGGTTCGCCCAGTCACGGCTGTAGCAGAAGGTGTGTCAACATCAACGGTAGCACCAGCAGCTGCCGCTGCAACAGCAGCAGCGCGTGTCCACACACCCACGGCTGTAGCAGCAGGCACAGCAGTAGCAGCAGGATCAGCTGTAGGGGCAGAGACAGCTGTAGCAGCAAGAGCAGCTGTAGCAGCGGGCAGAGCTGTGGGTGCAGCTGTAGCAGCGGCATAATCAGGAGTGACAAGAGCAACAGTGGTTGGAGGAGCAGGAGCAGTACTGATCACAAGAGCAGGAGCAGCAGTGGGTGCAGCGGTGGGTGCAGCGGTGGGTGCAGCAGCAGGTGCAGCAGCAGGTGCAGCAGCAGGTGCACGGAAGGCAAACGTGGGGGACGATGCGGCTGGGAGGGCGAGAATCACTCCAGACCTGTGGGACAACGGGGAATGCACCCCTTCTGCTGCTACTGTTCCTGGTGCTCTTGTTCCTGGTGCTCCTGCTGCTGGTGCAAGCAGAGAAGCAGGCCGAGTGAGCCGGTTGGCACTTGGAGTGTATCGGTCAGCAGGCAGATTGTGCCGGCTAGCAGTTAAAGAGTAACGGCCAGCAGGCAGAGTGGATTGGTTAGCAGTTGAGTCGTATCGATCAGCATCAGTGGAAGGCGGATTGGCTGGCAGGCGGGGAGCAGAACCAGCAGCAGCAGAAGCAGCAGCAGCAGAACCAGCAGCAGCAGAAGCAGGGGCGTTGTAGTTGGCGCGTCGCCTGAGGACCCTGATAGGACCATGACCATCTGGTTCCCGATAATTCTGCTCAAAGGCCCTGGTAGGACCCAATGGAGCAATACGAGCAGCAGCAGGAGAGCTTCTGGACGAGAAGTTTGAAAGAGGGCCTCGGGGTCCGTGCAGGAAGCTCAGGAGGGCGTTGCGGGGGGGAAGCGAGGCAGGGAGAGCGGTGGCTGAGGATGGAGGAGGTGCAGACGAGCGGGGAGGGGACGGGGGAGGTGAGGCGGGGAGGGGGGGTGAGGTGCAGAGGAGAGGGGGAGGTGCAGCAAAAGGGCGATCAGACCCCCTTGTAGCAGAGGGCTGATTAAACCGCCCTGTAGCAGGGACCCGTTGAAGTGAAGCGCGGGTGGCAGCATGGGGGTGACGGGCAGCAGCAGTAGTAGCCGCAGTGGCAGCAGTGGAAGAGGGAGGAGCAGCAGCAGCAGGAGGAGCAGTGGGGCGGGGAGGCTGCATGCGCGCAGAGTGAGTAGGCTGGTTCACGAGAGAGGCAATCAGCTGCAGTAGGCCTGGCAGAGCAGCAGCAGGCAGAGCAGCAGCAGACAGAGCAGCAGCAGCAGCAGCGGATCGAGAGTGCTGCATTGGCTGCTGGGACTGGGTAGCCCCGGACGCAATCTGCTGCAGCAGCGCCGGTAGAAGAGCAGCAGCAGCAGAAGCAGTGGGAATTTGCGACTGAGGGGGGGAATGGGCACTTCCCTGTGAGGATAACATGGAGATCTGCTGCAAGAGGTTAGGGAGGGAAGCGGCAGCCACAGAGGGGCATGGTTGCTGCTGCGGTTGCTGCTGCTGCTGCTGCTGCTGCTGCTGCTGCTGCTGCTGATGCTGCATCAGCAATGAGCCAAGAGAGAGTGCGAACTCGGGACCAAAGGACTGGGCAACGTTGCATGCCAGGGCCTGCAGAGAGGCAACAGACCCGGAGGAGGCTGAGCCAGAGAGCTGGTTTGAGAGAAGGTGGATAAGGAGAGTTGCAGTGTCTTGTTCTCCTGCTCCTGTGGTGGAGAGTTGTGCTGCTAGGTTGGCTGCCGGTTGATTGGCTGCTGTTAGATTCGCTGGGGATTGATTTGCTGTTGTCTGATTGGCTGCGGGAGCAGAGGCAGCAGCAGCAGGAGGAGGAGCAGCAGGAGCAGGAACGGGAGCAGGGGAAGCAGAAGTGGAAGCAGGGGCGGGAGCAGGGGAAGCACGATCAGTAGGGGCGGCAGGGGCAGGGGCAGCAGTGGCAGCAGCAGTAGCAGCAGCCGGAGAAGCAGCAGCGGCAGTATCAGTGGCAGCAGTTGCACCTGAAGCAGCACCTGTGGCAGCAGCAGCATCTGTAGCATTACCAATCTCAGTGAGACTGAGACGGGTACCAGTGGCGTGCGCAGCCGTGGGGGTGGGAAACAGAGCGGTGCTGTTGAAAGGAACAGCTAAAGGAGCGCTGGAAAGAGCATTGGAAGAACCAGCAGCATCAGTGAGAGAGGCACCAGTGGATGGCACTAGAGAGGACGGGAACAGGAACTGTGCGAGGAGAGGGGGCAGACCCAGAGGAGCCTGTCCCCCCGTCAGACCCTGATGCTGCTGCAGCAGCTGCTGCTGACCGCTGTTGGTGTGCTGCTGCGGGTGTGCTGTGGGTGGTGCAGTGTTGTACGTGTGCTGTGTCACAGTGGCAAACCGCGTGCCGTACGGCGTTTCCTGCTGTGCCCCGAACTGGATCGTGGTCACCTGGGCCTGGGGAGCACCAGAGGCAGGGGCAGCACCAGAGGCAGGGGCAGCACCAGCAGCACCAGCAGCAGCAGCAGCGGCAGGGAAAGGAGGTTGAGGGAAGGAGGATTGGGGGAAGGCGGATTGGGGGAAGGCAGGATGCATCGGCATTACTCCTGATGCCTGCTGCTGCAGCATATTGGTGAAGGCTGCAACTGCATCCCCCCTTACACCCATCTTCTCCTTTCCCTTCTTCTTTCCCCTCTTCTCCCTCTCCTTCCCCTTCTCCTTCTTCCTTTTCTTCTCTTTCTCCTTCTTCTCCCTCTTCCTCTTCTTCCTTTCCTTCCTCTCTTTCCTCTGCTGCTTCCTTCTCTCCCTCGCCTCCTCTTTTGTATGATCGCCCCACTCTGCTGCTTCTCCCTCCGTTTCCCCACCTGTCTCCGTCTCGCCCCCTGTTGTCCCTCCTCCCGTCCCTTTCCCTCCCCTCTTTCCACACCCCCCCCACTCTTCAACCTCTGCATCCTCCTCCTCCACCTCCTCCACCTCCATCACCTCATCTTCCTCATCCCCCTCCACCTCCTCTTCCTCCTCCTCATACCCCTCCTCCATTTCCTCCTCCACCTCTTCCACCTCCTCCTCCTCTTCCTCCTCTACAGCAACCACAGAGGCATCCTCCAGCACACCCCACGCATCCCGCATGTCCCTCACCCCTACCAGCCCTGAAAACTGCCACCACCGCCAAAACTCCTCAGGCGTTTTGATCTTTCCTGCTGCCATAACAGCTGCGACTGCTGCATCCCTCTCCTCCCTCCCTCCCTCCCCTCCCTCTCCTCCTCCCTCTCTCCCATCTGCTTCCTCTTCCTCCCCTCTCCCTTCCTCTCCCCTCCCCTCTTCTTCCCTCCTCTTCCTCTTCCTGCCCCTGTCCTTATCCAAACCTGTGCCCGAACCGGTTTCAAAACCCGTCGAAACAGGCTCGGGAGACGCCTTGTCGAGGTTTCCCCACGCTGTCTGCAGGTTCGGAAGAGTGTCCGAGGCTCCGCCGACCCGGATTCCCGCCAGCTCAGCAACAATATCTTGAAGATACGCTGGGATTGGTCCAGGCAAGTTGGCTAGGTTGAGCGAGTTTAGAAGTGAGGCTGCTACACTCCCTCCTGCCACTCCCCCTACAGCCGCCCCTGCCGCTCCCCCTGCTGCTCCCCCTACCCCTCGTTCTGCTGCTGCTCTCTCTCCCTCCCCTAGCCCGCCCTCTCTCCCTGCCCCAACACTCAGGCCAAAACCACCACCCCCATCATCATCACTATCATCACCACCATCACCACCACCACCATTGTCATCAAAATCACTCCCTCCCAAGCCTTCTGCACCCTCCGTTCCCTCCCCTCTCCCCCCTCCTTCGCCTCTCTCCCTCTCCCCAGCCGATTGCATCCCTTCACCTTCCCCTCCCCCTCCTCCTCCCCCTCCTCCTCCCCCTCCTCCTCCCCCTCCTCCTCCCCCTCCACCTCCCCCTCCTCCCTCCCCTTCTCCTGCTATTCCCCCTACCCCTCCCTCCCCTCCCGCTCCTCCCGCTCTCTCTTTCATCTGCATCATCTTCTTCTTCCTCTTGTTAAACGCCCCCGCCAGCACCACCTCTCGAAACCGCTGCTGCCGCTGCAGCTCCAGCTCCTCCGCAACCTTCCCCAGTGCCTCGATCTCCCCTGGCAGCAGGTTAAAGCCCTCGTCGAACAGGTCCCAGGAGAGCTCTGCTGGCACGAGTGTCTCCCCTGCTGCTGCTGCTGCTGCTGCGTCACCAGCTGCAGCAGCAGCAGCGTCCCCAGTGGCAGCAGAAGCAGGACCAGCACCAGCAGCAGCGCCAGCAGCAGCAGTACCAGCAGCAGAAGCAGCAGCAGCAGCAGCAGCAGCAGCAGCAGCAGCAGCAGCAGCAGCAGCAGCAGCGGCAGCAGCAGCAGCAGCAGCAGCAGCAGCAGCAGCAGCAGCAGCAGCAGCAGCAGCAGCAGCAGCAGCAGCAGCAGCAGCAGCAGCAGCAGCAGCAGTACCGGTACCAGCAGCACCAGCAGCAGCAGCTGCAGCAGCGCCTGCTCCTTCCCCACCCACTCCTGCCTCCCCCCTTGCTTCCCCCCCTTCGCCCCCTTCCCCACCAGTCTGCACCCCCTCTCCCCCACTCCTTCCCCCATCCCCACCTTATCCCCCTGACCTTCGAAAAGAGGAGCCCATTTCTTCCACCTGGGAGACGCCTTTACAGCCCAGTGGTCCATGAAGCCCCAGCGGTGCATCAGACCCGCCACCCACGCGAAGGTGATCGACCTGTGGGGGTAGGGGGGGAGGAGTAGGGGAGAATGAGGGAGCCTCTCAGTGCTTATTCCACCTGGGAGACGCCTTTACGGCCCAGTGGTCCATGAAGCCCCAGCGGTGCATGAGACCCGCCACCCAGGCGAAGGTGATCGACCTGTGGGGGTACGGGGGGAGGAGTAGGGGGGAATGAGGGAGCCTCTCAGTGCTTCTTCCACCTGGGAGATGCCTTTACGGCCCAGTGGTCCATGAAGCCCCAGCGGTGCATGAGACCCGCCACCCAGGCGAAGGTGATCGACCTGTGGGCAACGCCGGGGTGGTGTTGAGGGGACAAGGTGGGAAGGAGAAGGGTCGGTTGAGGTTGTGTGGTGTTGTATGCGATGCTTCTTCCACCTGGGAGACGCCTTTACGGCCCAGTGGTTCATGAAGCCCCAGCGATGCATGAGCCCCTCCACCGAGGCAAAGGTGATGCTCCTGTGGGGTAGAGGAGGGTAAGGAAGTGGTAAACGGGAAATTAGAGGAGGATCACACTGATGCCTGCCTCCACCTGAGAGACGCCTTTATGGCCCAGTGGGTCATGAAGCCCCACCGATGCATGAGCCCCGCCACCCAGGCGAAGGTGATGCTCCTGTGGGGTAGTGGGGGTGGCGGAGAACGAGGGATTGGAGGTTGAGCAAGTGGATTTTGACAGATTAAAGGAGCCTCTCAATGCTTCCTCCACAGCCCAGTGGTTCATGGGGCATGACGCCCGACAGAATCCCCACCACCTACTGGGTACTCACTGTTGACGGGAAAGTGGCCCCGCCCTCACTTGGGCGAAGCCGACATCGCTGACCGGCGCCAAGGGTGTGCGGCCGGCTGGGCGTGGGGTCGGCTGGGCGTGGGGTCGGCTGGGCGTGGGGTCGGCTGGGCGTGGGGTCGGCTGGGCGTGGGGTCGGCTGGGCGTGGGGTCGGCTGGGCGTGGGGTCGGCTGGGCGTGGGGTCGGCTGGGCGTGGGGTCGGCTGGGCGTGGGGTCGGCTGGGCGTGGGGTCGGCTGGGCGTGGGGTCGGCTGGGCGTGGGGTCGGCCGGGCGTGGGGTCGGCTGGGCGTGGGGTCGGCTGGGCGTGGGATCGGCTGGGCGTGGGGTCGGCTGGGCGTGGGGTCGGCTGGGCGTGGGGTCGGCTGGGCGTGGGGTCGGCTGGGCGTGGGGTCGGCTGGGCGTGGGGTCGGCTGGGCGTGGGGTCGGCTGGGCGTGGGGTCGGCTGGGCGTGGGGTCGGCTGGGCGTGGGGTCGACTGGGCGTGGGGTCGGCTGGGCGTGGGGTCGGCTGGGCGTGGGGTCGGCTGGGCGTGGGGTCGGCTGGGCGTGGGGTCGGCCTCGACGGTGATCTGAAAAGCGTTTGGGGCCCTGCTTTTCCCGAGACGCTTTGGAAGTATTTCTTTCACGAACCGCCTGGGGGTTGGAAGCCCGCGGCATTCTACATCTTACCGAAGCTGCATAAAAAGGAGCTCGTGGGGCGACCGATCGCTGCCTCGCATTCTTGGGTTACCTCTAATGTTAGCCGCTGGTTGGACGCAGAATTACGGCCGTGGGTGTTGCGACAGCAGACATACCTCCGCGACTCACTCACTGCTTTTGAAGCTGGAAGAAACTGCTTTCCCGAAAGGGATCTTCCTGGCCACCTACGACGTTACTTCGCTTTACCCCAGCATTCCTTTAAGGCGAGGCATCGACGCAGTTAGCAGCATGTTACAGAGTGGGAGACACCCGAGCTGCCTCCCGATTATCGCCCCGCTGGAGCGGGTGATGATGAACTCCTATGTGGAGTTCGACGGCCAACTATTTCTTCAACGGCAAGGCACGGCTATGGGAACTCCTGCAGCTGTTTGTTTTGCCGTGCTTTTCATGAGCCGTTTGGATGAGGTACTGAGGAGGAGATGGACTGGGACAGAACCATTGTGCCACGTTAGATACAGTGACGACGGCTTGATCGTATGGCCTGGATCACGGGATGAGCTGGAGGCTTATTTGAACATGTTCAACCAGCTCGACCCCAACATCAAACTGACGTGGCACGTCTCAGACTCATCGGCTGACTTTCTTGACATGGTCATCTTCAAGGGACCAAGGTTTGCCGAGAAGGGTATCTTGGATCTGAGGGTGTTTCAGAAACCTATGAATCGATACCTTTATCTCCCCTTTTCCTCTTTCCACCCGCGACACTGCAAGATAGGCTACATCAAGGCAGAACTGAAGCGGTACCTTCTCTGCTCAACATCTGCTCAGTCTTTTCTCGCCTCTAAGCACGCGTTTTTCCAACGGCTTAGAAGTCGCGGCTATCCTGGAGATTTCCTTCTGCCCATCTTCCGTTCTGTTTTCTTCCGACACCGACACCTCCTTCTGGAGGAAACCGCTGCACGCCAAGCACTCAAACTTATCTCTCCCCCCACCCGCGCCCCCCTGGTCTTGAAGTCCTTGTTCACCCCGTTGACAGCTCGTCTCAGGCTGGGGGTCCTTTTGAGGCGCCTCAAAAGTCGTCTCCGTTCACGCGGATTTTTTGTGGAGAGAATTATAACTGCTTGGAAGTGTTCAAGTAACCTACAAAGGTTACTGGTGCGTGCGCGGTTACCGAACCGATCAAGTCGTTGAAGACATTTTGTGAAGGCTGACAATGCACATTGGGTTTACCCCCCTGCTGAGTTGGCGATTGCCTCGGATTTGTAATCTGGGTAGTTGGTGTACAATAAGCTGATCTCGAGGGCAGTAGCAGGTACTTAGCTAGCTTCTGTCCGAGGCTTCTCTTTCTTGTGAACCTGGAAAGCAGCACTGATGAAGGCTTAGCGGGGTTCTGTCCCGTTTGGCCGAAACTAGTTTGCGATTAAAGGTTTTTCGAGGTTTGGAGGCTTTGAGATCTTTCTTTTAATTTCTAGGAACAAGTTTCACAGTTTCGATCTTTTTGCTAAGCGTTTTCTCACAAGTTCGCTGCTACTCCCATCATGAATCTTGATCCCTGGGGTCGGCTGGGCGTGGGGTCGGCCTCGACCTGAACGGTGAAGTCGACGACTTTTGTCGGCCTCGACCTGGACGGTGAAGTCGACGACTTTTGTCGGCTTCGACTACAGCACTGCGGTGACCTCGACGGAGCGAAGCCGGCGACAGTGCCAGACCAGGGTGGTCGACGAAGGAGTTCGTCGACCTGCGGGCGTCGACCAACTAGCAAGTCGACGCTGTCCTCGGGGACATTACCCGGTAGACCTAGTAACCTGGTTAACGAAGTCCTGCAGGGGTTCGCGGACGTCGCCCAGGATTTTTTGGAGAAGTCGACCTGCGGGCTGGTACCCCGAGGTCAGTGTCGCATATCTGATGCAACCGTAGGCACAAGGCCGACTTGGCAACTGCGCAATGTTCATGACGGTATACAACGTGCGCGACCGTTGCCCTGCACCTGCGAAGTAGGTGCGTGCACAACTTCAGTCACCTGCGGTTGCAACGCTAGCAAGTCGCCTGCAGCGTTGGCAAGCCACACTGGTGCACTGCTGGTAGGTCGTCGACTTGTTGGCAAGCCGCCTTCGTGCTGCGTTGGCACGCCGTCGACTTGCCGTGCTGGCAGGCCGCCCCCGTGCTGTGCTGGAGGTCGACCTGCCTGATTGCTAGACTGCTAGATTCCAGTTGTAGTGACGTTGCTATTGCCTTTTGTATTGTTGTGTACTCAAATTTTGCAAGTGAAACTCTTGACAACATTCACGATGAATACGCAAGTAGAGAGAACACGAGCAAACGCTACGACCACTCGTATCACCAGTGCCTTCCCCCCATAATCCAGCCCCCAGTGTAGAGTGACTCTCCACACTCACCTGGACAGGAAGAAGCCAAACAGACAGCGGTGCCACCTTGTTGGCATAATCCACGACCGCCTCTGGATACACCATGATCTGATCTGATCTGATCTGTTCTGCCACCGCAACCCTTCTCAAGGCACCTACCGCAGCCCACCTACCACTGTCTCTTTTGAGGCACCTACCTACCACCATCACTTTTGAGGCACCTACCTACCACCGTCTCTTTTGAGGCACCTACCTACCATCGTCTCTTTTGAGGCACCTACCACCACCCCATCCCGCACTCACCTGGAGGGGGGGAAGCCAAAGAGGCATGTTCTTGACGCATACTGACTCAAAGCCCACCTCACCTCTCTCTGCATGCTCACCTGGAAGGGGGGAAGCCAAACAACGGCGCCACCTTGTTGGCATACTCCACTACCGCCTCAGGATGCACCATAATCTGTCGCGGCAACCCTGCCTCCTCCTCCTCTTCTTCCTCTTCATCCCTTTCCTCCCCTACGCCCTGAAAGCCCATCCTCACTCCTCCACCCAGCACGCCCCGTTGTGCTGCTCCACCCCTCCCACTGCCCTGCGCCTCCCCCTTGTCCAAATCCGCCAGGGCCTTTTTCATTGCGTCTGAAACTGCCTTTTCTAGCCGCATGAACTTGGTATACTGTGTAGGGTGAGAGGGGCGGGGTGGGAAACGGGAAGCGGAGATGGGTGAATGTATGGATGTGCAGGGAAAGGAAGGGCGCTCAAGTCCGCCAGGACCTTTTTCACTACGTCCGCAACGCAACTGCGTATTCCAGCCGCAAGAATTTGGTTGGTATACTGAGCAGGGGGGTGACAGGCAGGGAGGGGGGGCCACAGAAGAGAGCAGAGGGACAAGGGCAGGCGTGGATGGACAAGGGTTAGGGTCTAGATCCGCTAGGGCTTTTCTCACTGCGTATGCTAGTAGATACTTCGAGCAAAACAGAAAGCAGTGAATAATATTGTGTCGACTCAAAAATAGGCTTTTTTTTAGTCAACTCAAAAATAGGCTTTTCTCACTGCGTATGCTAGTGGATACTTCGAGCAAAACAAAAAGCAGTGAAACTAATCTTGGGGAGGATGACGTCCCGCTGTGCAGCGTGCACGCACGCCCCTCCCACTCTTGGGCATCTCACTCACTCACCTGCTTCATCTTGGGCAGCACTTCACGCCCCTCCTTGTATGCCTGGTATAGTGCCCACCGCCCACTGCCCACTGCCCACTGCCCACTGCCCACCGCCCACTGCCCACTGCCCACTGCCCACTGCCCACTGCCCATGCTCCCCCCCAACCCACTCCTCCCATCTCCCCACATCCGCCACTCACCTGCTTCATCTTGGGCAGCACTTCACGCCCCTCCCTGTACGCGTCCCGCATCACCTGCGCCTGCCACCGCACCTTGTCCTCCCGTGCCATATAGTCTGCTATCACCGTGCGGCTTGTATCGACGCCGTATCTGCACCACACAACAGGGGAGGGCAGGGGGGCGGCAGTGGCAAAGGTAGGGTGGGGGGAAGAGTGGTGGTGCAGAGGAGGAGCATTAACACTGCCTGTCACCTGACCTTATCCTCCCCTCCAACAGGTCTGCTATCATCGTTCTTTCAAGATGTACCTGCCTTGAATGAACGGCCTGTTTGACAACAGTGTGTGGCAGGTGTTTCAAGACGCACCTGGCTTGAACGGCCCGTTTGACAGCGGAGTGCGGCAGGTCCTGCCTGGCGCGGGCGAGGGAGATGAGGGCAAGCTTCCACGTCACCAGCACCCCCTGGTACTGCTTGCGCTGCTGTTTCTTCTTTCCCCCCTCCTTCCCACTCTCTCTCCCACTCTCCCTTCCACTCTCCGGTCCAGTTTCCCTACCGCTTTCCCCACCAACCTCCCCACCACCCTCCCCACCACCACCCTCCCCTCCTCCTCCTGCACCCCCCGCCGCTTCCCCACTCTGCTTCTTCTTCCTCCCTCTCTTCTTCCCAGTGCCCTGCACCGCCGTTGCTCCACCACTCCCCCCCGCGCCTACGGTCCCTACCCTCTTCTTCGGCGGCCGCCCGGTCCTCTTCCTCTTCCACCTCTTCTTTAACAACCCCTCAACTCCCACCTCCCCATCCCACCGCTCGTCCCCCTCCCCCTCCTCCTCCTCCCCTCTCCGCACCCGTGCCTCCCTTTCCGCCACAAACTGAGCCACCACCTTAAGAAGCTTATCAGCTGCAGTGTTCCAAATCTTGTTCCGCCTCACTGTCTTCTCATCCCGTTGCTTTCGCACCAGCCCTGTCACTACATTCCCCAGTTGCATGTTCACATCCATGCCTAGAAACCCACCCCCTTCCCCTACCCCTTCCCCCTCCCCTTCCCCTTCCACGTCCGTCCCTTCTCCTCCCCCATCCGTGGTGTTCCCCTCTCCACCGTCCGTTGTGATCCCATCTCCACCGTCCGTTGTCCCGCCTCTGCCCTCGCCGTACCCCTCCCGCCCGCCATTATCACTCTCCGTACCGTCACTCTCTCCTGCTCCAGACGCATTCCCCCCTCTTCCCCCCATCCCACTGGTCCTTCCACCACCATCACCACCAGCACCACCAGCACCATCCCCACCCCCACCACCCCCTTTGCGGTTCGCACGCAGGTCCTCTTTCGTTCGCCACTTCAACCCGTGCCTGCCCGCAAAATTCAGAATCCACGACATGTGAAACCTGAACTTGGGATTCTTTTCCGCAATCCCGAAACTCGGAGCCAGCTTCTGCGCATATGCCAGTATATCCTCATACAGCAAATTCTCCTTCCCATACTTCGCCCGCATTTCCCGCACCCACGTCGCGAGCGCCTCCTCGAATTCCGGGAACTCAACCCGCTTCGGGACCGGTTTCTTCGGCTTGTTCAGGTCAGCGTTCAGGTACTGGTAGCTCTTGCGTAGGGTGTACCGGAGCGCTGCAGGGGAAATACTGGCTGCAATCACAGGCCCGCATGATTCCAGAATAACATGGATGATCTCCGAGTTAGTGAGAGACGGCCGAGCTTCCTTGAGAAGGCAAATAGCCTTTCGCATCTTGATCGTTCGCACACAGGTTGTGATTTTCTTGTTCTTTTCTTTGAACTGCTTCTGTTCTTCCAGCAGCCGGTAATATTCCACATATATCGGGTTAGTCTCCAGCTCCTCTTTACTAATCACCCTGCCCGTGATCGGATTCCGAGGTAGAACCTCGATCTGCGCCGCTTTTGCCAGGTCAGCCTCGGTGACCACCCTCCGAGCCTCCGCCGCAGCTCTGGCCTCAGCCATGGCGAGCTCTACTAGCTTCGGATCGGGCTGGTAACCCTCCGAGTCTTCACCATCATCCCCATAGTCTAGCGAGTTGGCAGTGTTTGTAGTGTTGGCAGTGTTGGCGGTTCCTCCAATCATGCTGTTTGCAGCAGTGAATGGGGCTGATTCGTTCAAGGAGCTCGCTGCAAAAGCAGCTGAGTCGAGAGGCTGGTTGGAGGAAGGACCAGCACCCCCGGCACCCCCGGTACCACCAGCACCATCACCACCAGCACCACCATCACCACCATCACCACCAGCACCATCACCAGCAGCAGCAGCATCAGCTGTCCGAACCACCACCATCTCTCCTCCCTCCAGCTCCTCAAACAGATCCCCTGGGATAACCTCATCTTGATCCCCTTCTCCCACTCTCGCCTGCCCCCCTTCCTGCCCATACCCCACCCCACCCTCCTGCCCATACCCCACCCCACCCTCCTGCCCATACCCCATCCCAGCCTCCTGCCCATACCCCTGCCCTGTCCCCTGCCCGTACCCCTGGCCCTGCCCGTTCGCCTGCCCTGTCATCTGCCCGTATCCCTGCCCTATATCCTGCCCGTATCCCTGTCCAGTTCCCTGAGCATACCCCCCTTGCTGCGCATATCCCCCTCCTCCCACCTCCTGCACATGCATCCCTCCCCCATCCTGCCCATACACATCCCTCTGCTGCCGCTGCTGCTGCTGCTGCTGCTCCCACTCCGCCCCTTCCCAAAAAACCCCCGCATCGCCCCTCCCCGCCCCTCTCCCCCTCCCCCTCCCTCTCCCCGTCCCACTCCCCGACTTCCTCCCCAGCAAATTCTCCGCCCACCAGTCTCTGGGCTTTCGTCCCTTCTGGTTCGCCCGGGACTTGAACAGCTCCTGCCCAAACATCTGATCCGCTAGCTCTATCAGAGAAGGCCCAGCAGAGTCATCCTCGTTAGGGTAGTCCTCACACGCCGCATCTATAGCCTCCTGGGAGAATCCCAAGTGGGACAACACGCGGTACACCCACGCCCTTGTATACTTAAAAGTCGGGGGAAACCCGAACGAATACCCCAGCTCCTTGGCCTTCTCAATCACCTGCTCGCTCGGCACACCACCGACCCTCTGCTGCTCCTCCCCGAACCACCGCGCCAAGGCTCCCTCCATACCAGACTGGTCCGGCGGCTGGTTGGTTCGGTTGTGCCCTTTCCCGCCCAGCATCGCCGCCCACTTATGCGGCTTCTGAATAATATCCGCCACCCGAGTCGAGTAAATCCTGATCCCTGGGTACTTCGTTTTAAGCACTCTAACAATCTTTTCAAGCGTGATTCCCGGCCGGTCGCGCCGTAACTCGCAAATCTCAGCCTTGAGAGTCACTGGGATGAAATGGCGCCGTTTTCTCTCAGGGTCTCGCAATCGCACTGGCCGGAACTCCCCATCCACGTCGGTATCAGACCCGTCTGTTGCTGCTGCCGCCGCCGCTGCTGCTTCTGCTGCTGCTATTGCTGCGGCTGCCGCCGCTGTGCCAGGACAGGGGCAGCCGCACCTGCTTCTCCTGCTCCAGCTGCTGCTGCTGGCAACATTTCCTCTTCCCCTCCTCCAAATCCCCCTGCTTCCCCTCCTTCCTCTCCTTCCCCTCCTGCTGGTACCGCCTCAGCTCCATACTCTTCTCCCTCCATTCCACCACCCATCCCCATCTCACCATCTGCAAAGCCTGTTGCGTCAAGATCGAACCCTCCTACACCGAGCCCCCCCTCCATGCCCCCTGCTTCTCCCCCCACCGCCACTCCCCCCTCTGCTCCAACCCCATCCGCAACACCACCACCAGCACCAGCAGTGGCAGCACCTGCGGCTCTGGCAGCAGCAGCCCGGGCGGCTGCCAGTCCTGCAGCATATCCAGCAGCGTAGATTGCAGACATATCACCATCCCCCCCAACTTCGCCCCCAACCACCTCCTGTCCACCCACCTCTTGAAGAGGAATCTCAAGTGCAGAAACACCCCCCATTATTGCCTGCACAGGGTCTGGAACAACAACTGCCTGCTCAGGCAGTCTCACTACCTGCCTCTCTTCTACTCCTGCCCTCCCATCTGTCGCTGCTGCTACTTCCTGTCCGCTAGCCCCTACTGCTGCTGCCCCTGCTGCCCGTCGCCCTTGCCGGGACCCCTTCCCCCTCCCTTGCCCTCCCGCCCCACCCCCCGCGCGCCTCCCCCTCGCCACCCCTCTCCCCGCACCTGTTCCCTGCCTTCCACCAGCCCCAGCCGCAACATCTGTAGCACCAGCAGCAGCTGTAGTAGCGACTGTAGCAGGAACAGTACTCGCAACAGCTGTTGCAACAGTAGTAGCAGTGGCTGCAGTAGCGCGAACACTCTGACGCTGTTGCTGTTGGCCATACTCCTGATCACCATACTCTGCCGTCTGATGGTAACCCTGCGCTTGCCCATAAACCTGCCCCTGCTGGTTCGTCTGCTGAGAACCCTGCCCAGCTCCATAACCCTGACCGTGACCCCCCCCTGCCACTACCCCCGAATCGTAACCCCCCGCTTGAGCATGCCCCTGGGCTTGCTGGTATGCGAGATTCGCAGGCGTTGTAACAGCTGCTGTGGTAACCACTGCAGGCGCAGCAGCAGCAGGAGCAGCCGCAGCAGTAACAGCAGCCTCATACCCATGGTAACCCTGCATCCCGGCTGTCGTTACAGCATCGTTGTTGTAACCAGCGTTACTACTACCACCCACCGGCAACAAACTTCCCTGGTCGAAACTCTCCACGTGAGTGTGAGCGGATACGACAGCAGCAATGGTTCGATTCCATTCCTGGGCGTGAGATTGCTCCTGACTTGCGACATTCGCACTTGCAACATTCGAGCTTGCAACTTGCCCCTCTAACGCATCCAGCCACCACTCTCGCTGCGTCTGTCGCACAGGCTGTTCCTGTCGCTGCTCCTGCCGCTGCTCCTGACGCTGTTCCTGTCGCACACCCTGTCGCAGGGTCTGTCTCTGCGACTGTTCCTCCGCCTGCGTCGCATGTCGCACTGCTTGCGTCTGTCGTTCAGGCTGCTGCACTTGTCGCACGGGCAGCACTCGTCCTTCGACCTGCAACTGCCGTTCCGCGAGCGCTCGCTGCTGCCGTTCGGCCTGCACGTGTCGCCCAGCCTGCGTTTGCCGCACGGCTGTCGCTTGCTGTCGCACAGGCTCCACCTGCCTGGACTGGTACTGTGCCGCGCGTGTGGATTCATTTCCACCAAACACCCCCTGGGCGTTGTAATCAGTAACAGCTGCTGCAGCCGAAGCAGTAGCAGCACCGCTTAAACCTGGCGAATCGTACCACGTGGCGGCGGCTTGATTCAGGGTCTGATTCTGTGCCACGTGTCCGCCGCCGCCGTCCGCAGCCTGAGAACTTCCGTAAACTCCGGCTGCTGGCAGTACCGAACCTGTGACAGGTAGGAGCGAGCCGACCGTTTGTGCTGCGGCGGCGGTTCCGGCGTGAGCAGCGGACCAGGCGTTTAGAATCGCCTGCTGCTGGACTTGATACGCGTTCAGAGACGGCGAGACCTGATAAGCGGTTTGGGCCGGCTGCTGCTGATAAGAGGTTTGAGCCGGCTGTTGCTGATAAGCGGTTTGAGCCGACTGTTGCTGATAAGCGGTTTGAGTCTGCTGCTGCTGATAAGCGGAAAGAGCGGGCTGCTGAAACGCGCCGGCTTGGGTGGACGCAGCAGTGGGGACTGACGAACCAAAGAAATGAAACGTGTTAGAGTTCTGCTGAGCCATGGCCTACAATCTGATAGATACACCTACCTCGCCGCTGTATAAGTCGTTTCTGTAACGGGCAAGTTAATCGCAACATGGACACCAGCAACTTTGGCAGAGCGACGCCATAACGGAACATAAGCTGAACGGGGAGATGTGAAGACAAACTACTGAAGGCAGGAAGAACTTCAAAATTTTCATTTGTAGAACGTTAGGAGGAAAGCGAGGTCAATGTTGCAAGAGCACCGCGGGAAACGAGGAGGCTCTGACGAGCCCTCTAGTGTATTGTGTTCTGACGAGCTACACTCCAGCAGGCGGAAATTAGAATACACTAGATTACTATATATTTCTAACATATGTTTGGCGAGCTCCGCGTTGGGTCGATCTTGCGGTTCACCGCATTTCTTGGTCCGGCGTATCGGACGGTAAAGAGCATGTCTTCCTGTATTCAAAATGGTAACTCCTCGCACAAACCCAGCTGGGGGATTGGCTCTCGCGAAGTCCAACTTTGGTACTGACAGGAGTTCGTTTGCGGTCGAAAGCCTTGGCCTCTTAACTAAGTTTGTTGGGTGAAAGGATGTTGGGGTGCATTTGGCTGGTGGGATGGGAAGGTTGCGGGCACCAAAATATTCCATTTTCACAAGACTGCTCACAGCGAATCTCGCGGCTCTGCGCACCAAACGATCCGCTATTTTCTTATCGGACGGTTATTAGACTCCTGTGATTCCCACCAGCTGTCATTCTGCCCGATCATGTGTAACCCTTGTCGCTGACCATTAGGAAAAGTTTCGTCGCATCAGGAAAATTGGCTCTGGCGACAACAGGTCTTCGATATTGGTTGGGGACCCGTTTGAGATAGAAACCCTAGCATCTAGAATCCTCCAACCAATCCCGTTCCTCCGTTCACCAACGAAACCCTTGTTCTGCATCATCCTCGTTTTGCCAACTTCCATTTCCCACCTTCCGTTCCATCACCTTTCTGTTCCGTTTCTTCCATCCACCTTATCCTCAACAGCTAGCGCAGAGAAGAGCGATACGGCACCATATCGGAGCAGCAGATTGAGCTCTTGACGCGGTAAGGGAAAGAACCATTTCACAGATCCTTCTCCATCCCCAGCATCTTGAATCTCCTCTTGTGCAACACTAGTAGCGCGTCACTAGTGAGTCTGTTCTTAGAGGTGTGTATCCCCCAAATATTCACTTCCAATATCGAATCCTCCGATTCGCGGTTCGACTTCAGAAATTATTTCCATCCTTAGCCTTCAGCTGTAGTACGTTCAACGAGTACGGAGCGCAAACTTTTCCGACCTCCTCGTTAGTTGTCGTTACCTTCTGTCTGAAATTACTAGTTTTTTTCTCCCTTTGTTTCTTCGGTCCGTATAGTAATTTAGACCATGGCGCAGCAGCAAGGCGTCGACGAGTTGACCTTGATGCAGCAAACGCCAGGCGGAATGGTCATGGCTCCAGCTCCTGCAATGGACCCGTACGCTTCGCATCATCAACACCATCACCATCATATCCAGCAGCAGCAGCAGCAGCAACAGCAGCACCATCACCACCTCGCGCATCCCGGATTGGTGCAGCAATCTCTCGACGAATCAACGGTCATGATTCCAGCTGAAGCCGACGCCGTCGCCGCCATGCTCGGAAATGCCGGCGGCGAGGTGATGCTAACGAGCGGAGGATTAGCGGGCGCGGCTCACGGTCACCCTGGCGCGATTGTGACTACACAGGGGGTTATGGCTGCCGGGGGCATTCCGCATGGTCAAGTCGTCATGACAGCGGATGGGAGAATGGTGACCGTTGACGGAAGCGTTTTGACCAATCAGGGAGTGCTTGTCGCTGCTGCGTCGGCATTGGAGCACGCCTCGATACAAGAACACGCCGCCGCGATGCACCACGCCTCGATGCAAGAACACGCCGCTGCGATGCACCACGCGGCGTTACAAGAGCACGCCGCTGCTGCGGCGGCGATGCGACAGCACCATTCGCTACAAGAACGGCCTCCGATGCAGCACTACGCGGGAGAGGACCAGCACGCGTCGATGCAACACATGCATCACCAACAACACCTCCACCAACACCACCTCCATGCAGCCATGGCGGAACACGAGTCTTTGCAGCAACAGTACCAACAGCAGCAGATTCAACAGCACCACCACCAGCAGCATCAACAACCAGTTCAGGAGCAGCAACAGCAGCAGCAGCAGCACGAAGGCCATGCGGCCGTGCCAGAACACCAAACCGCAGCAGCCCATCACAGCGCACACCATGGGGGCTACCACAACGGAGATCACGCCGCACATCACGGCGGCCATAACGAAGATCTCGCCATTGTCGCAACCCACGGAGACCCCATGGCCGCCGGCGCCGGCGCCGGTCAAGGGGACATATCCGGAGGCGAGTCGGAAGGGGAAGAGGAGACTATCATGCTTCGCGGCCGCAGCAAGAACCGGCAGGCTGTGGAGCTGATTATCAAGCAGGAGATCTGCGCGCTTAAGAACGCCCGGCCGAAGATCACGGCGGCCGGGATCTGCCAGGTGCTACGCGCAAAATACGGTAACTCCACCGTGCGAGAGTCGCAGATCCCGCGCATCCTGCGCGACGAGCACAAGTGGGGGCGCGCGCCCGCGAACTTCAAGCGCGTGAGGCAGCCGCATAACGTGCGGCTGGAGGAGGCTCTGGCCATGTGGGTGCGGGATATGAAGGCGCGAGGCGACTTCCGAGTGACGTGCGATCGCATCCTGGAGCATGCGAAGGACATTGGTCCGTCCCTAGGCGTTCCCGCTTCCTTCAGGTTCGTGCGTCTTTCAGGTGTTAGGCTCTGGTGGTGTGGGTGCGCGATATGAAGGCGCGAGGGGACTTCCGAGTGACGTGCGATCGCATCTTGGAGCATGCGAAGGACATTGGGCCGTCGCTGGGCGTTCCCGCTTCCTTCAGGTTCGTGCGTTGGTGGTGCTTTTTGTGACGGATCGAGAACATACTACTTGTTCAATTGCTTTGGTGGGATTTGCCTTCTCGTTTTCTGGTGGCGGTTTCTGATGGTGTTTTCTTATGTTATTATCCGTTTCTTCCCCTTCTTGTTCCTGTGGCTGCAACCCGCAGATACAGCCGCGGGTGGATCTCGCGCTTCCTCAGGCGCTGGGGGCTCACACGCAAGGCAGTGGAGGCAGCAAGGGAGGCCAATTTCAACCCCCTCGACCCCTCCTCGGGCCCCTCACACGGCGGTGGGGGGGGGAGGGGTTGTGGGCACCAACAGCGCTGCACACATCATCGACACCAGGAGCTGAGGAGCCTATTGGAGCTTTCAATGTGTTCTATTCCGTTTCTTCCCCTTCCCTTCCCTGTGGCTTCATGCATGCAACCCCGCAGATACAGCCGCGGGTGGATCTCGCGCTTCCTCAGGCGCTGGGGGCTCACACGCAAGGCAGTGGAAGCAGCAAGGGAGGCCAATTTCAACCCCCTAGACCCCTCCTCGGGCCCCTCTCATGGCGGTGGGGGAGGCACTGACAGCGCCGCACACATCATTGACAGCAGGAGCCTACTGGAGCTTGCAGACGAACAGCTAGATCTGGAGGAAGCTGCTCGCCGCGCATCTGAGCCGTCGGATTTGCTCGCTGAGCTGGCAGATGAGGATATTCTAGCCGCCGCGGCGAGCATCCCTGCGGTGGGGAGCAGCGTCGTGGTGGCCGTGGCAGGATCCAGGGGCGGGCAGTATGCTCCTGGACCTGGGGGAGCTGGGGGGGGCGGCATGCACTATGCTCCTGGGGCTGGGGGGGCTGGTGTGGGGGGGATGGGGGGTGAGGGAGAGTCCGTTGGGGAGGGGCAGCTGCAGGCTGTAGCGGAGGAGGTGCTTCTGGGGCTGGACGGATCTGTAGCACGGGCGCCAGCTCCTGCTGGTGCTTCTGGCGCTGCTGGTGCTGCGGGTGCATACGCGCCTGGCTCACACATGCTTGTGCCATCCGGAACTACCTTCTCTGCCTCTCAAGGCCCATACACGTCCTCTGCCCTCGCCCACCTCTCTTCCGCGCCTCCCCACGCTCCCCATCCCCCGCCGCCGCCCCCCCAGCGGCGGCGCAACATCACAGTGAAGCTGAAGCGCGCCATCTGCGTGCTGAAGCGCGCCAAGCCGCGCCTACGCGCGTCCGCCATCATAGACGCCGTGCGCGCGAGCACGGGGATCTCCCTGGGCACGCACCAGGTCTCGCGCATTCTCCAGGACAGCGACCGTTGGATGCGCGCTCAGGCCAACGCGAACGCCGTCAAACGCGTGCGGGACCCTGAGAACGCCGCACTAGAGGAAACCCTAGCTGAGTGGGTGAAGGAGATGCGGGCGAAGCATGGCGAGGCGATGGTTACCAGGGACGATATGATTGACCATGCGAAGAGGATCGGTCCCGGGTTGGGGGTTCAGCCGGGGTTTAAGTATAGCAGGGGGTGGCTGTCGAGGTTTTTGTGGCGGTGGGGGCTGCAGACGAGGGAGGAGAGGGAGGCGGCGACGAGGGACGGAGGTGCTGAAGGGGCGGCTGCTGCTGGGGATGCTGGGGGTGCCGGGGCTGGTGGGGGTCCGCTGGCGTTAATGCCTGCTGATGCTGAGGGGGAGGCTGAAGCAAGTTCTGCTGGTGCTGCTGCTGCTGCTGGGGCTGGGGCCGCTGGAGCTTCTGGTGGAGCTGGTGTAGGTGGGGCTGCTGGCGCTGCTGGTGCAGCTGCAACAGGAAGCGACGCGGGTAGCGATCTGATCATATCCTCTCACGATTTTGTCATTACTGGTACGGACAGTGACGAGGATAATTTCCTTCGTCTGGTGGAGGAGCAGCTTGCTGAGATTGAAAAGGCAGGCGGCAAGGCAGCCAGGGCTGCGATTGTATGGGGCGAAGGGGGCGAGGGGGCCGAAGGGGGAGCAGGAGAGGGCGGAGGAGCAGGAGAGGGCGGGTCTTCCGAAGGGGAGGATACCGGGGACGAGACGGATATAGGGGAAGGCGGGGGTGAGAGGCGCCAGCGGTACGGTCCCGGGGTGTTCGGAGCGGTTGGGAGCGGTGACGGGCCGGGAGATGCACTTGATGTAGACGCGGACGGGATCAGAAGGCGGCGGATGGTCCAAGTAAAGGTGAAACGGGCGGTGTGTGCGCTGAAACGAGCACGGCCTGAGCTCACTAGCAGGGAGATCATAGACGCAGTGAGGGTGAAATACGGAGTGGATTTGCCCCCGTCGGCTGTGCCGCGGATTTTGAAGTATGACGAGAGGTGGCAGCAGGCTGGCGCGGTGGCGTCGTGCCGGGTAAGGTCGTGCATGAATTCGAAGCTGGAAGAGGTGCTGGCGGCGGCTGTGAGGCGGGCGCTGGCCCGTGCTGCTGGTGAGGCGGGTGAGGGTGGGAAGGGGAGTGAGGGCGGCGAGGGTGGTGAGGGTGGTGAGGGAGGGGAGGGTGTGAAGGGGAGTGAGGGAGCGGAGGGGGCGGGGGCGGCGGGGGGAGAAGGCGGGGAGGAGGGTGCTGCTGGGACTTCAGCAGCAGCAGAAGGGGGGGCGGAAGGAGCAGGAGCAGGAGCAGCAGCAGTGGCAGCGGCGGCGGCAGCGCCAGCAGTGGCAAGGACAGTAACAGTGCAGTCCATTCTGGACCATGCCAAGCGCATAGGCCCTCTGCTAGGCGTAGCACCTGGATTCCGCTACTCCAAGGGGTGGGTCTGCCGCTTCCTGCAGCGCTGGGGCTTCGGCAGCAAGCATCTTAAGAGCGGAGTTCTAGGGGTGGTGGCTTCTGGGGGGAGTGCTATGGGGGGTGATAGGGGCGGGGAGGAAGGGGATGCTGGGGAGAATGGGGACGAGGAGGGGAGGGAGGAGCGGGAGGACCGGGAGTTGCAGGAGTTGCTGAGTATTGTGGATGAGCAGGCGGCTGAGCAGGCGAGAATGGAGGCGATGTACGGGTGGGGGTATGGGGGAGGGGGATATGGGGGAGGTGGGTATGGGGGAGGCGGGTATGCGGGGTATGGAGGAGGGGAGACAGGCTCGGGAGGTACACCTGGGCAGGTGCCGTTTGCAGTGGGTGTTCCTGCGGCTAGGCTCGGGATTATTCGCACGCCCGAAGCTGCAGCTGCGGCTGCCGCGGCTGAGGCGGCGGCTTGGGAGTATGCTTCGGGCGGGGGTGCTGGGGGGATGAGGAAGAGGAAGAGGTTTGGGGTTGGGCCTGGTGACGTGGCATTGCATAATAGGTCGAGATCTCACTTCTGGGATTTGATGGTAACGGAGATGGCAGGGAAGGGAGAACGAGGAGGGGGGCAGGGGGGAGTGGAAGGGGGGATGCGGAGTGGTGGGGAGGTGAAAGCAGAGGAGGGTGGGGAGCGGGGAGGGCATGTGGGTGTGGAGGAGGGGGTGGTTGGGATGGAGGTGGAAGAGGGTGATGGGAAGCTTAGGGAGGAACATGCACTTGCTGCAGGACCAGGAGGTGCCGCTGCTCCTGTGGCGGAGTCAGCAGCTGCTGACACCACTGCCGCTGCTGCGCCTCCTGCTCTTGATGCTGCTGCTGCTGCTTCTGCTGCTTCTGCTGGTCCGACTGCTTCTGCTGGTCCGACTGCTGCTGTTGGTCCGTCTGATACAGACATCACTGCGGGTGATAGTGCGAAGGCCGCCAAACAGGCAGAGGCGAAAGGAGCAGAGGATCAGCAGGGTACTGCTGCTACTGGGGAGACAGGTGCAGCTCCTTTGGCTGCTGGCGAGGCGGGTGCGGCTCCTATGGCCGATGCTGATGCTGCAGACTCTGCTGCTGCTGATGCTGCTGTTCCTGCTGGTTCTGCTGCTGCTGCAAATGCTGCTGGTGGTAGCGGTGAAATGGACGTTGGTGAGAAGGATGGGACGCTGGCAGGTGCGCGGGAGGAAGGCGAGAAGCAAGCAGAGGGCGGAGAGAAAGGTGTGGAGGGAGAGGTAAAGGCTGGGGACAAGGAGGCACCTGCCACTGCTGAGGACCCTGCTGCTGATGGTGACGCTGCGGCTGCTGATGCTGCTGCTGGTAGTGCTGCTGCTGCAGCTGCTGGCACTGCTGCTGCTTCTGCAGCTGACACGCCAGGTGCTGGTGATGATGGTAAACCTGCCAAGGCTTCTGAAGCAGCAGCAGCAGCAGATGCGTCACAGAAATCGACAGAACAAACGCCCGTCCCAAGCAGTGTAACACCACCAGTTGCTAGCCACTCAGTTCCAGGAGAGAAGCCTGCTGCTGCTGATACTCAAGCCGAAGGCCATGCACCTTCTTCTCTTCCGCCACCTGCAGCAGCACTCGCAGCAGTAACACCTGTAACCCCTGTGACGCCAGTAACCCCAGCTTCGGTTGTACCACCAGCTTCGGCTCCCGTACGAGCAGCAGCAGAAATGCATGCAGCATCAGGAGGGGTAACCCCTGTAACCCCTGCAATGCCAGGAGTAACCCCAGGACTATCTCCTGTAACACCAGGCGTGGGCGCAACTGCCGCAGGGGTCCCTGAGGGTCACATGTGGCAAGCCGGTTACAACCACAGCGGTTACAATCAAGGATACGGACCGTCACCATATGGTTACAACTCTGGCCCAGGGTGTGGTCCAGGCTATGGCACCCGGGGAAGGAGAGGAAGGGGAGGCGGTAGGGGAAGAGGGCGGGGAGGGAGGGGGGCAGGCAGGCGCGGGGGGAGCAGCAGCGCTGGTGTGGGGGGAATTGCGGGGAGCATTGGGGGGAGTAGGATGATGGGTCTGGCCGCGTCTGCTGGGTTGATTCCTAGCTGGGCTGCTGCAGCAGTGAAAGCTGTTGAGTCTCCCTTCGCTCCTCCCGCCCCTCCTCCCCCACCTGCCCCTCCTTCCCCTCCTGCCCCTGCCGCTGACGCTTCCCCTACCCCTGCTGCTGACACTGCCCCTACCCCTGCTGCTGACACTGCCCCTGCCCCTGATGCTGCTTCTGCTCCTGCTCCTACCCCTGACGCGGACGCTGCCCTTGCCCCTGCCCCTACCACTGCTGCTGACGCTGCCCCTGCCCCTGCCGCTGATGATTCTGCTCCTGATGCTTCTGCTGCTGGTGCCACTGCTGCTTCTGATGGTACTGCTGATGGTGCGGCTGCTGCTGCTACTGTCATTGAAGCCACGGCGGCAGATCCCATGGATGCTGCTGTTGCTGATGCTACTGAGGTTCCAACAGATGATGCTGCTGCTGCTCCTAATGCTTCTGCACATCTTGAAGCGCCTGAGAAAATCATTGTAGATGGTGCTGCTGCTGTTGATGCTGAAGCTTCTACAGGTCCCACATCGGAGGCCGAAAGTATGACTGTAGGTGCTGCTGTTGCTGATGCTGCTGATGCATCTGCAGCCCCTATGGACGTTGCTGGTGATGCATCGCCAGCAGCTCCTGCCAATACTGCTACTGAAGCTCCTGCTGCTCCTGTTGATGCTCCTGCTGCTGTTGCTGCGCCCGTTGATGCCGTTGCTGCTCCTGTCGTTGCTACAGTTACTGCCACGGCTGCTGAGGCTGACACTGCACATGCCACAGACACTCCAATCGATCCGCAGCATGTAGCTACAGATGTTACGCCTGTAGCGGATGCTTTGGTTACGGATTCTAGAGATACAGACATGATGGACGTGGGCAGTGCAGCTGCAGATGCTGCTACAGCTGATGCTACAGGTGCTGCTACAGATGATGCTACAGGTGCTGCTACAGCTGGTCTTACAGGTGCTGTCACAGCTGATGCTACAGGTGCTGCTATGGTTGATGGTACAGGTGCTGCTACAGATGATGGTACAGGTGCTGTCACAGCTGATGTCGCAGGTGTGGCTTCAGCTGATGCCACCGATGCTGCTACTACAGCTGACGTCATAGTCGCTGCAACAACTGATGCTGCAGCTGAGCCCATGGAGGGCATTGAGGTCAGTAGGGAAATTGTTCCGGAAACTGGTGGCCCTTCACCTGATGCTGCTGTTGATGCTCAACACGATGCTGCTGCTGTTGCCACTCCACCTGAAGCTGCTGCTACTGTCGGCGAGACAGGCGATGTCTGTGTCATCGCCCCTGCTGCCACACACGCTCTCCCTCAGCCACACTCCCTGCCCGGCACTGCTCCGCTCTTCTCTGCATCCCTTCCCCTGGGTGTGGGCCTCACAGCAGCTGCACCACTGCACTCGTCTTCTGAGGCCTCCGCCTTCCACCCTGCTTTGGGGCAAAGTCGATCACTGCCTGCTGTTGCTGCTGCTGCTCCTGCTGATGTTGCCACTGCTGCTCCTGCTGATGCTGATGCTGATGCTGATGCTCCTGCTGATGCTGATGCTCCTGCGCCTGCTGCTGAAGCTCTGGCTCCTGCTGCTACTGATGGGTCTCCCGATGCGGTTGCTGCTTCTGATGTTGCTCCCGATGCTACTCCCGATGCTGCTACCCCCGATGCTGCCCCCGATGCTGCCCCTGATGCTGCTCCCAATGCTGCACCCGATGCTGCTCCTGATGCTGCAGCTGATCCCAAGGATGGTGCCGATCAGCAAGAGCTCAGAGGTGGCTCTGTGGAGCCCTTGGCTGCTCCTGAATCAGGTGCTGCTACGGTTGCTGCTGTGGCCGCTGAGGATGCAGCAGGTGCTGCTGATACCTTTGTTGCTGTGGCTCCTGATAATGCAGCAGAAGCAGCAATGCCGCCGCCACCTGCTGCTGTTTCTCAAGAACCGGTTGTTTTGGATGATCCCTATGCCCTGGAGTCCTCTCAGAAGGTTCAAGAGCCGCCCACTGTTGCTGTTGCTCCACCAAATGCCGCTGATACTCACGATCCGTATGCCTTTGAATAGCGAGTTTGGGAGGCCTCGAGACGTGTTGCAGAACATCCGTGTGACTTTGTAGGAGTTCGTTGTTTAGGTTTTGTAAGTTCTGTGTGCTTGTTTTGAGATGTCTCATTTGTTTGAAGACTTGTACCAGATCGCTTTAGAAATGCCTAGGAGCTGGTACCTTAATAGGTCACTCTCGAAATACCTACAGCAACCAACCCACTTCCACCTCTCTGCAACCTTTATTGCAGAGAACCTACCTAATGTTCCATTTCATTCTACTATGTTCCTTTTTTCACCGGGTATGTGCTAACAAATGAGAACGAACGATCCCAAACCACTCTCAACTCCAACAAACTCCAGAATCCAGACCAGACTCTCAATCGAGTCCGCAGCCGCGTTGTAGAGTCATTACCTCGGTTGTCCTGCATACGATGGGCCGACGACTCGGTTGTAGAGTCATTACCTCGGTTGTCCTGCATACGATGGGCCAACAACTCAACACAACATCGTCCATCATGCAGACATCGATACCCCTGCTTGCGTTGTTAACCCTTCAGTAGCTACTATGCTGGACGAATCGAACATCGGGGGCATCGGAGAGCCGGATGCTCACAAAGCCGATGCATTCACCATGTCATAGAACAGCGTGTAAGAATACCGTAATCACCCGGACATACCACCCGCCGAAATTGTAGACCCCCCAGGTGGCTTGTGCGGGGTGGGTGTTATAGTTGACCCCGTTTGTACTATACCCCCCCTTTTGGGGTGATTTTTTATAACACCCCCTTTTTTACACAGAATGCCTTATTTTAGGTGTTAACGAGTATGTGCAATGACGGGGGGACATCGCGACGATCACTTTTTGCATGAAATTACATGGTAATTTCGAAAGTATCTGCTGGGGTCACCTCCGTCCCACTTTTTCATTGTTGCCACGCTGGTAGTTCTTTCGCTATCAAGTGGCCAAAGAGGTGGCACCTCGCAACTTCAAGGAGGAGTCAATGTTGTCGTCGAAACTGACAATCTCGCTTCCAACTGTGATGCTAAACCAACCTTGAAAACACCCAAGCTGCCTATTTATAGAAACCCTTACACTAAAAAAATGTCATATATATGCACCCGGGTGGTATGTAGCTTTTTCCTATGAGAAGACCCCCCCCCATTTTTTTGGACACAAGGCCAGTTCACATGCAGAGTTATATAAAAGAGAACAAACAGTACAGTGATCATACCCTAGCAAGTGTAAACATGCAGGTATATATATAGATCACAGTACAAGCAAAGTCACGCAGTGAGCAAGTGAGGAAAAGTAGGCACAAGGCCTAAAACAGTACAGAAATGTTGATGATCACCAGACTGAAGTGCCTTGGTGAATATATCAGCAGCGTTGGCCCGAGTGGCCACGTAAGCAAGACGAAGCTGACCACGCTGCTGCAACTCTCGAGCAAGGAAGTAACGCAGAGCGATGTGTTTCGTTCTGTGCTCCAGTCTGTGCTCCTAACACAAAGCAATCATGGCCTTGTTGTCTACGTACAGAATTGGAGGAGAACGAGGCCGCTCTCCCAAGTCGGTCAGCAGGTAGGTGAGCCAGCGTAACTCCTGTGTAGCCATGGCCCCTGCGTAAATCTCAGCCTCACAACTGGAACTGAGAACAGAAGACGAGTGGGTAGACCGCCAAGAAACATAGCCAGCGCCTCCAGCGCCAGTGCCTAAGGGTCTCCAGCTCTATTGCCTCCAGCTCCAGTGCCTCCAGCTCCAGGGTCTCCAGCTCCAACGCCTCCAACACCACCAGCTCCGGCAGCTCCATTACCTCTAGTACGAGCACCTCCAGGACCAGCAGCTCCAGCACCTCCGGTACCTCCAGCTCCAGCAGTAACTCCAGCACCTCCAAGACTAGTAGCTCCAGCACCTCCAGCTCCAGTGCCTCCAGCGGCAGGGCCTCCAACTCCTGCAGCGCCACTCCTAAGGCGTATGCGCTGAGCAAACCACTCGCGCAACTGCTGCGGTGAGAAATTCGTGGCGAGGCACCCGCAGGACCTCCGGCAGACGCAGTACCCCTAGGCTCAGCACCCCCAGACTCCGCACCCTCAGAGTCAGCACCCCCAGGCTCCGCACCCTCTGGCTCAGCAACCCCAGACTCCGCACTCTCAGACTCAGCACCCCCAGGCTCCGCACCCTCAGGCTCAGCACCCCCAGGATCCGCACTCGCAGGCTCAGCACCCCCAGGCTACACACTCGTAGGCTCAGCACCCCCAGACGCAGCACCCCCAGACGCAGCACGAGTAGCAGCACCTGAGTCGACAGTGACCTCGATAGGCTCAGCCAGAGGGAGTAGGTCTACCTGAGACACACCTGAGGGAGAAAGACCCTGAGGGGGGAGGGGGTCTACCGGAGGGGGGCCTAGAGCGAGAAAGAGCGGCGGGGGGGGGAGAGGGGCAGTGCGGTAGGGGAAGAGGCGGTAAAAGGGAACCGACTCGTCAAACGTGATGTCCTGAGAGGGCAGGACACGGCGCGAGGTGGGGTGGTAAAACTGCCAGCCAGGCGCGTCAGGGGGAAAGCCAAGGAAGATGCAGGGAATGACGCGGGAGGAGAGCTTGTCCGCGGAAGTATCGCGGACAAAGGCACGAGAGCCCCAGACCCGGAACACCGACGCATCGCCAACCTTCCCCGTCCAACGCAGTGTAGGCGAGGTCTCCGGAAAGGAGACACGGGGCCAGAGGTTGAGCTGATGCGCAGCGTACCAGACCGCAAAAGGCCATAGAAAATGGGGAGCACCCGCATGTATCATGGAGGTAAGAGCCACCTCCATGACTAAGCCAATGCGGCGCTCAACAACCCCATTTTGCTACGGGGAGGCCGGAAGCGTGAACGGTTGGAGGATGCCCTCCCCACGACAAAAGTCCCGCAAGAGGTCGGAGGAGAACTCACCACCTCTGTGAGAGTGCAGACACA